AGCACATCTGAATCTAGAACGTACAATTTACGGGTTATGGAGTTAAATTACCACGTGTCAAGAGAATTTAAATGGAATGAATGTGAAATCCCATCTCCGGATTTCACTATTTAAAATTATGTATTTTGTATTCTTAGTTTCAACACGTTTATATTTATGGCGTATAATTTTTCTTTTGATAAGTAAAATGATGAAAACATCCTTAATGGATTAAGCAGGATTCTTGGTGGAAGTATTTGATCCTTTCGTGATTTTCCATATTTCTTTACATATTTGGATAGTATTCGTCGATACGGGCGCGTGAGCACAAACAGAATGCAATTTGGAGTTATAATGAATGAGTTATTAACGAACGAAGTTAGGGGCAAAATGGTCATTTAGTTATTAATCTAGAAGGCTCTAGATTTGTTGGAGCAACAATGGCTGGGATGAAGCCATGTGTGTGTTTGGGATGGAAAAGAGAGAAGAGAAAGGATAGAAAGGGATGAGGAATTTGCCTAATAAAAAAGAAGGGAAATGAGATAAATGAGAGAGGTGAGGAGCACCGGATCTCGTCGACCCGAACACCCACACACCCAACCTGTTCGACTCGGTTAAATTCCGACGGTTCCTAGCCATTTTTCAGGTGAATTGCACCCAACCATCACTTGCAATCACCACCACACTTCTTCTCCTTCATTGTTCATTCAAGATTGGACGGAAATTGGGCTAATTTATGGCGTTTTGCGACGGGACACGGAAGGCTTCATCGATGGCGATCCACCATTTTTTAATGTAATCTCGTCGATCTCCTCCACCATTACACTCCCTTTGAGCCCTGGAACAAAGGCCAATCAGTTGTAGGGGCGGCGGAATACCGAGGAAGGAGAATCGAAGCACATCCATTTCTAAGGTTCCGGCGGATCAAAGAGGTTTTCAGGCATTTCCCAGCCGAACTAGACTTCGGCCCAAGTATGAAAATGTTCATCTCCTTGAGTTGTACATTTCTGCAAAATTTGGTGAATTTTAGTATTGGTCGATATTTGGGGTTTTTGTTCGCTGGAAACCGCTACCCACGACGGTGTGTAGCCAGTGGGCCGACGCTGCCTTTTTAAGTTAAATTCAATGTTCTCATTTCAAATTTGATAACCATTTGATATATTTCGATAGTTTGAACCTAGTATGGAATATTACACCACTTGACCATTTTATGATTCAATGATCCGACCATTAGATCGTCACCAAACATTAATACGTTATAATACGTAATATTTGAGGACCATAAGAACTGATGGATTGGGAATCTGATGTACGGATGTTCCCAAATTGAATTTCTAAGTTTGTAAAACCAAACATTGATAGCAACCTAATTATAGCAATTGGGGATGATCCGACCGTTGGATCATTTCGAAATTTCAGAATATTGTTCTAGAAGATAAATGAGACCCTTGGGAAGTTACAGATCGGAATTCCATAGGCGGATGTTCCAGATTGACTTGTGTAGGTTCGTTGACCCCACCTTTGGCAGAGACTTGACTTTTGGTCAATATGCTACGAATTGATCTTAAATATTAAAATCAATATTACTAGAGACTATGTAGGCTTAATGGGCCTATATTGGTTAGTGAGTTATCCTAGATAATATATACATTGGTTTACGTGTATGGGACGTCATATTGTGAGATATATATATATATATATCTGTGTGTGTGTGTGTGTGTGTGTGTGTGTGTTTATTTATCTTCTTAATAATGTGAATGATAAGTATGATAAATGTTATGACAAAGTGATCCTAGAATCCAATTAGAAGTATTATGTAGAACTTAGATGATTGTGTGACATATTAGTTGGTGGCCATGAGAAGTTGATGGTGTAGATGACTATATTGTAACTCATAGGGGTTGAGGTATGGGTAGGTTGTGTGTTGAATTTACTGTACCATGTAGCAGTGGTACATGAATGGTCATCCTGCTTGGTATATCCGCGATGGCGGACTGTTAGGGGTGATTATGCTTGGTATATCCACGATGGGTGATCACTGCATACGTTATTAGACTATGCATATGGTTATGCTTGGTATATTTGCGATGAGGGACCATACGCATTCTAGGAGTGATCATGCTTGGCATATCCGCGATGGATCACTACCTATAGCTATAAGATACAGTCTTGCTTGGTATATCCACGATGAGGGACTGTTAGGGGGTGATCATGCTTGGTATATTCACAATGGGTGATCACTGCCTACGTTATTAGACTATGCCTATGGTTCTGCTTGGTTTATCCACGATGGGGGACCATAAGCATACTAGGAATGATCATGCTTGGTATACCCACGATGGGTGATCACTACCTAGAGTTAGGACATGGTCCTGCTTGGTATATCCGCGATGGGGAACCATACATATTGCAGGGGTGATTATGCTTGGTATATCCGCAATGGCTGATCACTGCATACACACTTAGATTATGCCTATGGTTCTGCTTGGTATATCCGCAATAGGAGACCGTACGCATACCAGAGTTGATGATGATTAGTGGTACTTAGAACATTTCGGTAGGTGCCATATTTTAGTTGGATTCCATTGAGTGGTCTGGAATTCTTACTCTTGCTCATTTTCATAAGTTAGTCTAGAACCCTAGATTTGAGTGAATGAAGATTAACCACACTAGATCTTGTGAATATAAATGAAATTTACCATGTTATTACTTATAATCCAAGTAGGGAATTATGTAGAGTTCTTTAATTAAATTCATGAAATGATATGTTATTTCATTGATTGATTAACGTAGTCAGACGTTAATATCGTGTATATTTGATTCATGGAATTTATTAATTAAACGTGATTTGATTTGTGTATTGATGATATATGTGAATTGTGATTTGAAGTGTTTGTTGAATTGTTCGATGGAAAGTAATTTGACGTGCATATTTGAAATGAGATTTGATTTGCATGATTGGTATAATGTGATGAAATGTGAGGGCTAGTAGTGGATCGTTAACCCACTATCATAGGGGATTCATTGATTCGAGACTCGTTTTGTTGAGCCTTTGTAATTTGAGTACTTGTTTCTTGTTTGTTCTTTGACCATTGTTATATTGTTTGGACTTCCGCTCGGTTCCATTGAACGATCCGGAACTGGGTTTCCACTGGGGTTCTGTTCAGTGGTTTGGTTCCTTACTCCGTCTGGATTCCGTTGAGTGGTCCATAATCCCTCATGATCCGCAATTCTCTTGAGTGCTCCAGAATTGTATCCAGCTTGGATTTCATTGAGTGGTTCGATATGCATTTACTTCGCGATTCTGTTGAGTGGTCCAGAATCGTATCCACTCGGATTCCATTGAGAGGTCCGGAATCCCTTTTACTCCGCAATTCCGTTGAATGGTCTGGAATCGTATCTTGATTTGGATTTCGGTGAGTGGTTCGGAGCCCGATGTATTTGGCCGAACTGTGTCGCTCTAGCCTTGCATTTCGGTGTATTGTATGTGTTATTGATTGGTGTGATTATTGGATGGTGTTGGAATGCATATGTGTGGGTGAATGGCAAGATGACTAGAGAATATTATTGTGTTTCATTGAATGTTCCTTGAGGTGCTACATGCTTGAATTATGGTATTATGTTGAGACGCAGTGAGATATGCGATGAATGTTCGAGTGTAGTGAATGACGAACTACGAATGACTTGATCCCTGTTTAGAGTACGTAGGCAGTCCAACGAAGAGGTTAGATGCAACCATAAAGTATACGAAAAATTATTATGCGATTCAATTCTCGAGTTGTGCCTTGCCATATCCCGGAGGTGGGGTAAGTTAGAAATATAGGTATTTGGTGACATCACGTGTTGATCCTGGACGAATGTCGGGATCGGGGCGTGACAATGAATGCCGATTTACTTCAAAAGGCATGGTCTTTCATAACTATCCATCCTCGAAAGGAACATTCCTTTCAGATACATAGTTAGGGGTAACTGTGGGACCATGATTTTCTAGGCCAGAGTAATACGTATATCCCAGAAATCTAGTCATGGACTCAACAATCTCTATAGCAAATTTTCTAGGCCAGAGTAATACATATATCCCAGAAATCTAGTCATGGACTCAACAGTCTCTATAGCAGAGCTATAAAAACATATCATCCTGCTACCATCATTCTATTCCAGATAAATGGGCAAAGTCCATCGACTTCATTAAGATAGGTCATTCTTGTTCCGCAAGACACGAAAACCTGATCCGGCATAGAATTAACTAGGTTTCCTATATTTTTGAAATTCCTACAATATAGGGATTTTAGTACACGCCGCCAGTAATCACACTCTTGAAAGAATGCAATATCTATTCCTAGACATCCTCTGTGATTCTCTCAGGTTAATATAGATTCTATATTCTAAAAGGACTCTCTCTTGACTAGTATAAATACACCATTTTAGGATTCATCTCTGGTAACACAATTATCGCATACTCTATTCTCCTGCCTACTACTTGAGTCTCATATATTGCTTTAGCACCCTGCTGGCGCCAAGGTCACTTTACGATTTGTTTATTATTTTACATGTAGTCGAGTTTGTGCATCTCCTCCCCAACGGTGATGTGTGAATTTGATTCCAACATTGAAGTTTTTTTTTACAATATTCTTAAACCGATTTTACCAAACCCATTAACAATGGTTTGATATGATTCAATTTCAATGATAGTATTCATCAAAACTAAATTAAATTAAACAGTTGAATGCTTATTAATTCAATTATATTTTTAATATCAAACAGACAAACCGAACCGAACCGATTCCTAATTAAAACGGCCTAATTATATGGCATGGCCAAGTAGGTCAGCTGTCCTATTTTTGGATAACAGAACACATGGAAGTCAGGATCCTCAATCAATACGTCAGGTTATTCATTTCCTTTATATATTACTAGTGGTCAGCAATAAACATAAATTATATATACATATATATATATATATTTTTTTTTTTTTTCTCTGGTTTCAATAGGATGCCTGTTTCTGTTTTTTCCAAAGATTCTGTTCCTTATTTTTGTTTATAAAAGCTGGGTGTGTTTGGTTTGGTTTCCAACTTGCAAGAATATATCTGAAACAAAAACATGGTAGCTTTGATACCTCAAGAAAACACGGTTGCTGCTTTGGTAGCTCGCACTGGAAGGCATTTGCAGCGTTACAGCAAAGGTCGTCGCCAAGTTGTCGGGTTAGTCTCTCTCTCTCTCTCTGAACTTGTATATCTACTGCATTACTTGTTATTGAAGGGCCTTCTTCACCAATTCTCTGTGTTCCGAGTTCAAATCCTCTTCCCTCCATTTAGTATAGCTTAGACAACTAATATCGCTTGTAATCGGTAAAAGAGATTGATGCTTTTGGTTACTGATGGTGCTTTTTCCGTTCGTACTATTTGTGCAGATGTATTCCATATAGATATAAAGCTTCCAAGCAAACTCCCTTAAAGGATGATGCACAAGAACTTGAAGTCCTTGTCATTAGTTCACAGAAGGGCAAAGGGATGCTCTTTCCAAAGGTACCCTGATTTTCTTTTCAATCACATTAATGATGATTTGTTGCAGTAATTACTTCAGTTTAAATCATACAAAATTTTCAATTAATCCATGACAGGGAGGGTGGGAACAGGACGAATCCAAGGAAGGGGCAGCGTCGCGAGAGACGCTAGAGGAAGCAGGAGTCCGAGGACTCATTGGGGTTAGTGATGATCTTCCTTGTTACTTGTTTACTTAAGAATAACGCTTTTTGTACCATATTTACTTACTGCCTTGCTAATCGCCTCTTCTATGATAGAGGCGGATCCTATTAGTGGTCAGTAAATGTCGTCCAAATAGCAATATTCGTTGGCTGATTAACTAGCTTGTTACAATTAACTAGGGATATATCATAATTTTGATGTTCTTGTTATCTTTTTTACAGTGTGAATTGGGTAAATGGAGTTTCAAGAGCAAAAGCCATGATTCTGACTATGAAGGCTACATGTTCCCTTTACTTGTTCAGGAGCAGTTAGATTTCTGGCCAGAGAAGAACCTCAGGCAAAGAATTTGGGTATGCTTTTATATGTGCATGTTTAATTTTATCAATTAATTTATCCAATTAATAGATATAATTGCTGATTCAGTTTGGAAATAATTGTGAAAATAGATGAATGTTGAAGAAGCAAGAGAAGTCTGTCAGCATTGGTGGATGAAAGAAGCTTTGGATAGATTAGTATATCGACTAACTCAGCAACAAAAGCATCAAGGCCCTCTTCTTGAATCTAGGAAGGAAAATCTGATGGCATGTACATAGAAAGGGTGCTTTTGGAGAAGTGCTTATGGAGATATCAGTATTGCTTTTTCCTCTTAGTCAAAAAGCATTTAGGCAGAGTACTCTCCTATAGGATTCAAACAAGCAAGAAAAAAGCCACAACTGAAAATCATTAGCTTCTTGTTTTTGTTCTGCTGGAATTCTAATCCAGAAAATTTTGTCACAATCATGTTGGTTGAAGCTAAAGAATCTGAGCAAGATTGTTTCAAATAATAAAACGTTTCATTTTTTTCGCAAATTTGTTCGTTGCTTGGATAATCCATGGACTTTTTGAGCTTGAATTATGTCAAGGGGAATGTGAAAAAAAAAAATTAGAAAAATGGGAACTCTTTTATCAAATGAAGTCTTGTGAAGAAAAATGACCATTCATTACCTTAATTTCCAGTACTCTGTCCTGAATTGCCTGTAATTTACTGGGAATTTCACTGCCGTATTTGTACTAAATTGAAATCAAAATGGAACTACAAGGACAATAGCCACAAAACTGAAGGGCATAACAATATCAATACAAACACAGTCCCAACAGAAACCATAGAAGCCAAACCGGCCCCTCCACCCCAAAAAGCAGAAACACAAAAAGGAACGAGAATGTTTGTGTTTTCTCTTCTCTTTTCTTTTCGTTTTTGAAGAAAGGACATAAAAACACACACACAAAGTTTTTCTAAATGAAAGTAAATTTCTGTTGTTTGACATGTGATTTCAACATCACTTTCCGATGCATCAGATGCTAATATTCTAGTAATTCCGATTTGCCATGCATCCGTTCGTTTATGATTGATGTATTGTTTCTACTTAAGAAACCCACCGATAATTTTATTCCTGATACATCTGTAATAAAGATCATTTGAAACAAAAGGCTTTGAGCAGACAGAAGTTTCAACCATATAACATAAAAAAATCAGTATACGGACATCATGCGATCCTCTAATATTCCGTTTATTTCTGTCCGGTTTCAAACGAGAAGGGAGTAATGAAATCATGCAATAAAACTCTAAATCAGAACATGGGCTACCTCATGCCCAGCACTCCGAAGTGCCTGGAGTCGTTCCACGGATTCCTGACCAATAACTACCAAATAGCTTCTTTTCTTATCTCCTGAGTCACTGCTATCACCAAGTTTTTGCTTGCCAATTCTTTAAACTAATGTTGAAGAAGAGGTGAAACACCAGTCTGAAAAAATACTAACGGAACAAAGGATCATCGTCACATACTTAGGTCATCTCTAACAGAAGGGTCCAAAGAGCCAGAGGGCCGAAATTTGCCCGAAAACCGTCTCCAATTGAGGGCTAGGCCAGAGGGTTCGTGAGCCCCATGAAATCTGAAAGAGCTAAAGGGCCAACTGGCTGGCCCAATCCAACCATCCAGCTAGTCCTGGGCTGGGCGAAAATTTTGATTAATCTTGTCGGATATAATCGACAATAATAGTACTTATTCCTGTCGGATATAACCGGCAGGAATGGTTGCCAAAATTTGAAATTCAACTGCTAGTTACCGTTGGGTTCAAATTTATTTGTTTGTTTTTTTTTTTTTTTCCATAAGCCATTCCTACATCATTTCTCACATAATTTTCACCATTTCATACTATCTCACTTCATTCTATTTCAATTCTTCACATTATACTTTCTTACCTCTTCCAATAATCTTTCCTTCAATATTTTCAATAACATTAAACAATATTAGACAACATTAAATAACATAAAAATTATACAACATAAACAAAAAACATTTAACAATATGAAACTTAAACAACATTTTGAAAAACATTTAACAACATAAAACTTAAACTCCTACTCCATGCTATTTTTGGCCCAAAGATGTGCAACAAGATCTTGTCGTTGGTACTTGTTTGTGGCACGGTAACGTATCATTCTATAGCGCCTCATGTATTCGTTTATAGAGATACTACCAGTTCTGTGGCACGGTAACGTATCATATATTTTTGCACGAGCCCTTCTTGACCTATTAGGATCCTCTTGGTCGTCATTGGACTCTCCATCAATATACCCATCTCGCTCATCCTCCACAATCATATTGTGTAATATGATGCAAGACATCATGATGGAGTCCAAATTTTCTCGACTCCACCCTTTTGCCGATTCGTTGATCTTCCACCGTGCTTGTAGAATATCGAAAGCTCTCTCAACATCTTTCTGGTATGCCTCTTGGTGTAAGGTAAACAACTTTTCGGCGTCATTCCTAGGGTTTGAAATTGCTTGGACAATTGTCGCCCACTTTAATTGGGTAGATGCCATCTGCCAAGTAATACCCTATATTGTATTGACAACCGTTGATGTAGTAGTCAAGTTGAGGTGTTTTACTTTCCATTAGGGTATTGAAGATAAGTGAACACCTAAGAACTGTAATGTCATTTTGGGATCTAGGGACTCCAAAGAAAGCATGCCAGATCCATGTGTCATACGAGGCAACTGCCTCTAACACAATAGTTGGCTTTCTCGACCTTCCGCAGAAGCCTCATTGCCATCCGGTGGAACAGTTCTTCCAATCCCAATGCATGCAGTCTAATGACCCTATCATACTCGGAAACCCACGGTCTTCAGCTTTGCGAAGGAGCCGATCCAGATCTTCTTGATTTAGCTCGCCAAGGTACTTGTCTTTTTAAACCTGAACAATTGTGACACAAAATTGTTGAAGAGTTTCAAGGCATGTAGACTCAGACATATCATGGGTTTCATCCATCGAATCGGCTGGGGAGCCATAGGCCATCATTCAGAGTGCAACAGTAACCTTTTGATGAGGTGAGAAACCAGGGTGGCTTGCTTTGTCCCGCTTCTATCGAAAGTATGAATTCACGAAGTACACGCTCAAAGACATAAGGCCTCATCTGGAAGCGACATCTGAAATCCTCTTATGTGTACACTGAGTTGGGGTTGAAGTAGTTATTCATCAGATTGGCATGCATCATGGCTCTATTTTGTGGTTTGTAAAAGCGACCAGCAACAGAGCCATCCTATTCAGGTTGTTGCGTAGTTGGCTAACACACCATGGCTGCAGCCATGGTTACTGCTATGTTTTTTGAGTTGCGCCATGCTTCATCTTCTTCATTAGACTCCTCATCTTCTCGTCTCATTTGCGCCCATTTTTCTTCCAATTTGGAATTGGATGAGGACCCCCAATTGGAATCCGAAGAGGATCCAAAGTTGGAATTCATTGCAAATTTGAATTGAAAGATATTGAATTGAAAGAGATTGAATTGAAATAGATTGAATTCAAAGTTGTGTGAATTATAACCCAATATCCATCCTATTTATAGCCCAAAAAATTCAAATCTAATAGCTAGCTAACGTCACTTAGCCGTTGGATTTGAATTTAAGTTGTAGTTTTTAAATAATATATAAATTATGTTTGGCCCTATGGCCCTTTAGCCTTCAGTTGGAGACGGTTTTTTGTGACAGGGCTAAAATGAGTCCTATGGCCCTATGGCCCTCGGTTAGAGATGGAGGCAAATATAGTCATGTACTGTTCATTAAAATATTAATACATTGGAGGGTCAGAGGGCTCCTTTGACAATCCTCGGTTATAGATGGCCTTATAACCCTTAGAAAATCCATCCGTAACTTAAATACTAAGATAACCCTAGCTCCGAAAACTCCTTATTAGAGTAATTATCCTAGTTCATTCTGCATTAAATATATTTGGTGCCACTATTTGGCCCTTCCTTCGCGGGGCGGTGTGGAGAGTCTGTAGACATCATCTTCTACGCATATCAGGGATATATGCCATATGATGCAAGTAGCTCATTAGGTAGGAGTTTGTACCCAAAACTATAGACCTGAACTTTCGGCTATGCATACTCAACAATCATAAGAGACAATTTGGCATTAAGAAAAAACAAGGTTCATAGTATTAAGCTACCTTTTGCAACTTCTTTATAAACTCATGGAGCTGGCTTTCTTTGACCTTTTACCCTTTCTTCCTATTGAATTTTTGAATGTCTATTTTTGTATATGTGAAAACAAAGTACAAGGAGCTCATATAAATGAGCGGAAGAAAAAGCAACAGAAGCCGAAAAACAAGGGAAAAGGAAATCAGCAAAACAAGGAAAAGAAATCAGCAAAACAAGGAAAAGCAAAAAGCAACAAAACAAGAAAAAGAAAGCAGCAGCAAACATGGAATCATAAAACATGGAAAAGCAAATCCTTGATTTATGGCACTTCTTCCAATATTCCCCCTTAAGCTGGATCAAAGGGATCAATTGATCCGAGCTTGGATAACAGATGATGAAAAGTAGTAAATGCCAGTCCTTTGGTGAAGATATCTGCTAGCTGGTCATGACTGCGAATGAAGTGTGTAGCAATTACCTTGGACTGCACTTGATTCCGAACATAATGACAATCAACTTCAATGTGTTTAGTTCGCTCATGAAAGACAGGATTTGATGCGATGTGCATTGCTGCTTGATTGTCACAGTGAAGAGACATAGGTTGCGGGTGAGGAAACCCTAGATCCGAGAGTAGAGTTTTGAGCCAAGTGAGTTCACATGCCGTTGATGCCATAGCACGATATTCTGCCTCTGCACTTGAGCGTGCAACCACACTTTGTTTCTTGCTCTTCCAGGTGACAAGATTACCCCCTACGAATGTGCAAAAACCAGTGATAGACTTGCGATCGAGAGAGTTCCCTGCCTAATCTGCATCTGTATATCCCGAGATCTGAGTATGACCATTATTGCGCATGAGGATCCCTCTACCAATGGAACCCTTCAGATAGCGAAGCACACGGTGAACAATCTTCATGTGATCTGTGTTTGGAGCATGCATGAACTGACTAACAATGTTGACAGCATATGATATATCAGGACGTGTGATAGTCAGATAAATGGTAATCTAGTAAACTTAGAAAAATGACAAACATCACAAGGACTTGTAACTTTGCACATATTTGGGAACAAGGTGGATAGAACTTTTTCAGAAGGATGTGCTAGACGTTGGTGCCAAAGTTGTTGTTCTTGAGCTAAGCTTGAAGTGACTTGAAAAACCTTGGGAACTTGAATATGCTTGGAAAGATAGTAGAGACCATTTAAGAAAAATCCTTCACCAATCGTCTTCTTGGTGACTACATCCTGAAAGATCACATTTTTGGGAGAGAAAATGGCAAGACAATTTAATGAGTTTGTGATCTTGCTAACAGATAAAAGTTGAAAAGGGAATGAGGGAACATAAAGAGCCTCAGACTCGACATCACTTGAGATCAAATGTATTTTTCCTTTTCCCACAACCA